CAGTAGTTTGACACTTTGCAGTAGAAAGTAATCGCAATAGTTTGGTACTCTGTAATACAAAAGGCCAACATCTGGTATGAATCTTCAACTTTTCCCAAATTTCTACACCCCTGATACAAGAAAATAATTTAACTCATTGTTCGCAACAAACAACTCATTTTATCTTATTTTGTTTCTTTTTTTGCAAATGTATGAGATACAAGTTTAAAGTTTGGCATATGATTGACGGAACAGTATTCCATGTTAGATGCGGTAGTTAATACTCTAGAGTAACAGTCTATTGCAATAGTTTGGTGTTCTGTACTTTGAAAGAGCACCTCTTTCGATGAAGTTTCAACTCCTTCCAAACATCCAATCTCTGATAGAGTTTCGAATCATTGTTATCAAACAAACAACTGTAATCTGCAGATAAGAAGATACAGCGTTCGCGATATAAATTGAAACATGATCGGAGAAACGCAGTAGTTCTGATCGAGGCAGTAGTTTGACGCTCTGAAGTAAAGTTTTGTTGCAGTATTTTGTTAATTTGAGTACAAAACAGCAAAACTGTCGACAAAGTTTCAACTTCTCTCAACTATCTACAACCCTGGTCTACAAAAATTTTGACTAATTGTTGCCAACAAACAATTCTGTTTTCTTGACTTGTAACTCGTTTTTTTCTGCATCTACATACCATACAGAGATAAAATTTGACATGTGATTGATGAAACGCTCTCTTTTGATTTAGGCAGTAAAATGATTCCCCTGAATAGGAAACTAATGCAAAAGTATTGTACTCTGGATGACGAAACGGCATTTTTTTGGGTAAAAATTCAAGTCTTCTCAAATATCTACTCCCCTGATGTAGGAAAAAATTTCAACTCATTGTTGCATGAAAAGTTTCCAACAATTCTTTTCATTTTCTAAATTTTTTGACTTTCTTCTGTTGTCTGTGGCTATACATTCTGAAATACCTCCTTCGCACGTCTCCTTCGAGGTTTATTCTTACATCTTCACTTGGTTTATTGCTTGAATCTTTCTCTCCGTGCTTTATTGCTTGAACCTTCCTCTCCGTTTCTAGCGCCAAAAACAATTCTGACGCTGAGCATCTTTGTACCTCAAATTAATTGATATTATGTCCTACCTTTAGGCCACTGGTTATCGTCTCCTCATTCTCTTGTACTGACTTGACCGGTGCGAGTTTTTTCCTCAATTCTCCAGCTGCTAGTGCTACTGCGTCACCACAGTTCTCGTTGACTCCGGTCTAGGTGCAGGTTCTTCCCATACTTCTTTCGAATTTTCTAATAATAATTACGTATCAACGTTCTCCTTAGCTGTCACCGCTATCAAGAAATGCTTGAATGGTTACAGTGGCTCTGAGTTCTTTGTGTCTTTGTGGCCCAGAAGACCGGTATTATAATTTTCGTCCGTTTGTCTTGCCTTGGACTGCTACATCTGATACTTTGAGTACACATTTGCTGATAACGAATTATGATGTTGTTAATACGTTGACCAGCTCTGGCTAATGCAACAATTAACACAAAAGCGAAGTTGCACTTCGCATACACAAGCAAAAAAATGAAGAAATAGAGAAAATGAAGAAAAAAACGTACCAACTAACATGCCTCAATTTATCGAGCGGACGCATTTTAACTATTTTACGAAAAAGTTATTTGAAAACACCCGACCCTCCTCAGTTTCGAACCCTCTTATTTGGTTGCTCGTCTCCTTCCCGAACTCTACGCTTCAGATCCTTGATACCTTGAAGCGAAAGTGGTATTTGTAATATAATAATATGTGTTATTATCTTTAGGATTGGCTGTACTTAATAGCTGGATCAAAATTAACACTTTCAAAATGAACACATTTTATCGCAACAATTGCATTGCAACGAAATTCGCGACTAAGGTTGAAAAAAAGAGCTATGCTTGTGTGATCAAGGGCGGAAAGATTACTATGAAAAGTTGTAGTGACCTTGCTACAACAAGTATATAAACCCTAACATTAAAATTTTAGATAACGATTTATCTTCCGGGTTGCTGCTTGAACATCACAGAGTGGTTCCTTAACTTCGAAATCATTGAAATAAAAAAATAGCTGGGTTGAGCTCATTGAAATCGTACTCTCTTTAAGTAGTCCTACAGAATGAATGAACACAAAATTTTATTAGAAATAATTTGAACTTAAGGTTTCTAATAAGGTTCTCCTTAGAAATTTGGAAAGTTTTGTGATGAAAATTATTCAAAATTTTTTGTTAGTTTTTAGTTGTTTAAAATTATGGTTTTCTGTTCCAACCATAAAAACGAGAGGAGTAATTTTGGATTTGCTTGTTTCCTGAAAATATTTCAGGGATCATGAAAAATGACTGTCAAAATGCTACAAAAATTTTTGGGCTGTGTAAATGGAAACCAGCTGTAATTTTTGCAAACACTGGGTTTTTAGGAATTGAATTAAAAACTGAGTAACCAGCAATACTTTTGAAAATTTTTATTCACTTGCTGCAAGGAACCTACAAAAAAATAACTTTCCTAAAAAAATTGCTAAAAAAATTTTCTGACTTTTTCAGTCAAAAATTACTCAAAATATCAGTTATTGGGAAAAGTTTAGAAGAAAAATTCCGCTTTTTTTTGCATGTCGGTTTTTATGATAAGAAAGTTAAGAATTTCTACTGATCATGAAAATTTTAAACATGCAATTTCACAACATATTCCAAAAATAAGTTGCTTTTACTATATAAATTTCCAAATACAAGGTATACAGTACAAGATAACAATTTACAAATGTCTTCAAAGGTGCAAATTTTCTAAAATAAAGAAAAAGATCATTTTTTCAAAATCTTCTTCAAACTTTGGGGCAATTCGCTCCTATTTTGGGCGCAACTTTAGAAGACCGACAACCTTGACCCCAACTTTCGTTAACTCGTTCTGAACTCATGTTTATCTTTTACCGAACAATTTTTTTTCCAAAAAATAGAACAGATGAAAAACTTAAGGCAAGCAAAATTTCGCTTAAAAATTTCCGCAGGAAGTCTTTTGTGACCCTAATTTTTGTTAATTTGTTTTGTACTCACTTTTATCTATTATTTATTAATTTTTTCAAAAAACAGATCCAAAACTTACAGCAAGTAATATTTTGTTTAAAATTTTCCACAGGAAATCTTATGTTCATTTCAACAGCATATCACGTCTTCTATCATAATCGTTCTAGAGAGGCAAGTTCTTACACCCGGGCTCAATTGACAGTCCAAACAAACAAATATATAAATTACCGTTGATACAACAAATGGAAAAACTAAGACTGCAAACGCAACAAGCACCATCAATTGCAGCTTTTGGCGCAAGATAAAACTGGCTGTACTCCACGAGTTACATTATTTTGTATGACAGTTTATGTTTATTTTACAAACACAATTTTTGTCCCATACTAGGCCAAGATATTGCAATGAATAATTGTTCCGACTTTCGATACGAAAGTAACGGAATATTTGTGCTCGGGGTGGGTTTTTTTTTCTTCAGACAAACTTCGACTTCTTAACTAGCCAATTTTGACGGAATTTTATGTCATTCGAAAGCTATTGTTGTCCTAAGCTTAAATTTGAAAAGATATTTCACCTGTGACTATTTGTCGTAAAGTTATGAGGTTTTAAAAATTGCCATTTTGGCCAATTTGGGACAATTAACGCGCGATATATTTCGCTCTAATATCGCGTAAGCGGGGATTTAATCCGTCTGAGAAATCATTCCAAATTGGTTCGACAAATTTAGATTTTTCTTTTACTAGCCATTTTGACGGAATTTTTTTTTAACATCGTTTCGAAAGCTATTGTTGTCCTGAGCCCTATATGCCATAATTGATTTGTTAGTAAAAGCAAATTCTATCACTTTCTTCTTAATATGACGTATGGGGGTGTGTTTTCACAAAAAATCTCAAATTTTTTTTTTAAAAAATTTAAATTTTATTTTATTACATTTAAATTTTTCATATTATTACTGCTACACAGACCTTAAAAGGCAGTCGGAACAATCAGGGCTTCGCCCTGATACGAGCAGTCTTGTTCACTTGCTGCAAGTATTCTACAAAAAACACAATTTCTAGAAAACATATTGCCAATAAAATAATGAATAACTGGTTTTCAATTTTTTATTCTCAAAACATGAAACACCGAGAGATTCTCTTTTTCAAAGGTGATTAATACTTTTTTTGCGTTAATCAAGATCTCGTTCTGTGATAAACAAACGATACAGACTTTTTTTTTGTTAGTTATCAAACTAGGCAAGTTATTAACCGCAAAACTTATAGACGCATCATCGGCGAAATGAACGGTTTTACCATTTTTCTCATTTTACTCTCAAAATTGTTCACAGACGATCTGAAAGTTCACGGACCAATTTCTGCGCATTGTGGTGCACATCATGACTCAATCTAGTCCAGCAAGATTTTGATATCCCCTTTTTAAGCAGTGTTTTTGTGATTAAAAAACTAAGAGGCTTGAAAAGCAGCTATGAAACTTTTTTTTTTTGGATATTGGGTATAAAAATATAAACGCGTCCATTGGCAACTTTTGTTGTTGGAAACCCGCTATGTGTAACTTAACAGCTTTTTTTCTAGATATTCAGATATTCAAAAACGTCTCTAGTAAAATCTACTCTACATCCACTCCAAGCTAAATTTTATGCAGTATTGCTGGCCAAAAGTGGCCTGAAAATTGTTCGTTTAGGCCTGAAAGTTGTTTGTTTGTTTTTTATTGTTCGTTTAGTTTAATAATATTACTTGTATATACTTTTCCTTTCAAAAACCTTTGTGAGCCGATTAAATTTGCTTTTAACACTGTTGCGAGTACTTTTAAAAATTAAGAAAGTTTCGTCTATTTTTTTTCCACTTAAATAGAGTATGATTCTTAAACTGTTTTTAAAATGCTGTTTTTAAAACTGTTTCAAAACATCATGGTTTTGAGAAACGCTCTCAGATAAACAAAGAGTCTATGGCTCAAGGGCTAAGGTAAAAAGCAGCGCGCTCTCATATTTGAATTCAGATCTAATAATTTCTACAATTTGCGCGTTTCCTTCGTATATTGGGTAACTGAAGCTTTTTTCGGCTTCAAATTTCTGCTTTCTGGAATGTCGACTTTCTGTTTTTGATGCAGCTTTTGTGCATCCATTTTTTGTTTGTTTTGTTGTTGTTTATTTTGTCGTGTCATCATTGGAATTTGAACTCTTGCTTGCATCTGACGTAGCTCTGGTTTTTGGGTCCGTTGAAGTCCCTTCCGAAGTTGAAGATACCCATGGTGGGAAGGTTCAAAATCCCACTCTCATCTGAAGAAAATACTCAGCCTCAAAAGAACAAATTAAACAATCGCGGATGAGACTCTTAAGTTTCTAATAGGTTTCTAAAAACACTCAATTAGGTAATACGGAACATGTGAGCAATTCCCCCGTGAACCACCCCCACACCTCAAAACACCGAACCAAGCAGGGGCGGATTTAGGGGGGGGGGGGGGGGGGGTCGGACGTTCCTTCCTCAGGGATTCGACCCCCTGCCGACCCAAAGGGTCCCCACTTTGGTACTTTTTAAGAAATCCATTTTTGGCCAACCGACCCTAAAGTTTTTCTAAAGGCGCCTTTGGCGCCAATATATTCTATTTTTGAGGGGGGAGCGCGCGCCGAAAAAACGCAATTTTTTGGTCAACATTTTCCAAAAAGTGCCTAAAAACGCCTTTTTTGGACTGTTTTTTTCAAATTTTTGCCTGCGGCGCAGAAAATGTTGCCAAAAAGGGACTAAACCATGCTTAGGGAGAGCTCAAATATCAATTCGGTTGATCTAAAAAAAAAAAAGGTCGACAAAATTTTCGAATTTTTTTTTGAAAATCCGCCCCCCCCCCCTCGAGAAAATCCTAGATCCGCCCCTGGAACCAAGTGTCTTTTTTTTCCACTCCCGGACGTTTGGCGGACATTTTTGTTTCTCAAGGATTTGACCCCCTGCCGACCCAAATTTATTGTGATTTGGGAGAGCTCACAGAATAACTTTGGTCGACCTAAAAAAGTCAAGTTTTTGTAATTTTTTTTGAAAATCCGCCCCTCCCCCACCAGAAAATCCTAGACCCGCCCCTGCTCAAGATCTAACAAACTGAATGAGCAGGGAATCTTCGAGAATGGAGACGAAATAGGTTTTCGAAAATATCTCAGCATTTTTTTGCGATAGCTCAATTTGTCAAATTTAATGTTTTGTGCGTCGGCGATGAGTAAAATAGGCAAACATCAGTTGCGTCAAAACCTGAAATCTTTAACATTGTCTTGTTTAAAAGTTTCTAACTTTCGAAGATACCTTTTTAAAAACCTATCAAAAATCAAACGTGACACAAAAAAATATAGCACATATATAGTCTTTTTTAAATTTTAGAATCTTTTAAAATACCTCAAAAAAGTTTCAACCCTCTATCTCGTTTCCAATTTCGCAAATCCTGAAAAAAGTAACTAACTTGTACTGGTGACATTAAAAATAACATCATTACAAGTTGAATACCATAAATGTCGACAGTCAGTCGGAAAGTGTCTTTCAATAAAGACTTGCTGCTGTTCGTAAACTTTCTGGTTTTATCTTCTTTAGGCAGAAGATAAATATGAATCAGAAGCGTTCACTATTTGGTACTATTTTGCAACACCAATTGCTAGCCGACCAGTCCTAAATAGTTTCTAAAGGTGTATTTCTTTGAAGGAGGGGCACGCGCCGAAAACACAATGTTTCTGCGGCGCTCAACTTATAAAAGCAAAATGGGAAATATGTTCCGCATAATGTTTTATGATGCTAAGAAAATCAATTTGTCCGACCTAAAATGTTTTTCAATCGAAACCCTCTCACAGTTTTGAAAAAATTTATGCGTACGGCACAGATTTAGATATAAAGTTTTCTTAAAAATCGAATAAAACTAAAATATGACATCAGCATGACTTCGCACTTGGCCTATACGAGTTTTGTTTGAGGCACTAGAAATGGGCGAACAAAATCCACCCTCTGCCATCGACAATCAAACTTTAGGTGTGGGGGGTGGGTGTTAAGGGTGATTGGAACATTAAACTTGGAAGATAAGATTACCTATGACTTGCTGGAACTCTTCGTGAAGGGTTGGAACTAGTTTGCGCCAGAATGCACAGTCTTTAGCGGCCAGGTTTTCCCTTGTTTCCAGCTGGTTCACCCGGAAGTTGAGGAACTTCTTCCCATTATCAAGAGTCGCTTCCTCCCAGAAAGGCGTCTTCTTCTCAGCTCGTCCGTCCCAAAATCCGTTTTTGACATAATTCGGATCTCTCAAATTAAAAAGAAAGGATTCACAAAAAATGTATTAGAAACAGTAGAAGAAGATATTTTTCTTCCTTAAAAGTTTCAATCATGATCGTGATAGTTGTAAAGAAACTGGCTAGATGGCAAAAAGGAGAGAGCTTAAAAGATCTTGGAATGCAAATTTTTGCAAAATTCTTGCTAGAAGTCTGGCGCAGGAAAAAGAGCATTAATTTTAATTTTTTGTTAAATTTTTTTCGCAAAAAAACGCATTCTTTTGAAGGAGCTAAGCAAGATTGTTCAGTTATGTAGTGCATTTATGCATATGGTTACAATACTCACCCGTACCAGGCAAAGTTTCCGATATAAGAGGAGAACGCAAGGGACAGTTTGGCTTCCTCCGAAGTGAATGACGGATTCCTCTTTGTGTTCATCGGGTGAGTCATCATGTACTAGACACATCAGTTATAGTAAGGGGACTGTTCTCATGCGCGAAGTACCGAATGCGTGAAAACTCGCAACCAATCAACGCCCTTTAAATTTTTCAAAAATCTATGTTTATCGCTTATTTCATTAGCAATTATGAATACTGAACTCTGATGGGCTGACAAGATAGAGTTGAAAAAAAACTAATCAGACTTGGAGAAATCGTTTTTGGGGCTGAAAGTGAAGTCGTAGCGCGAGTGGTGGTGAAGTGGCTATACGTCTCCGCTTTGCAAGCGAAACGTCCAAGGTTCGAGGCCCATACCATGGTCCGTTCTCATTGCGCGAGGATTCGGGATATGACACACTCAAGAAAAATAGCCAAGAAAATATGCATGGAAAACTTAATCAAGGACACAACAGTAGTTCCCCGTAAAATTCTGAAGAGATCCTATGTTGGTCTTTTCTCTCATGAATAAATAATCGAATCTTATCAAAAATCGCGAAATATTTGGTTCAATATTTTAAAGCCAAGGAGTAAAAAGAGCTAATTGGATAACTGTTTTACCCCTTTCCTTACCTTATTGCCTTTATTTTTGAAATTTAAAATTTAACAATAATAAGATAGAATAAAACATTTGTTTTTTTTTGCTAGGAAGTTTAACTAAGATTATAAGTTTTATTTGTATTAATACAAATCCAAGCTTTGAGACGGGGAGACATAATAAAGCTGTACTTCAACCAGGGGCGGATCTAGGATTTTCTCGGGGGGGGGGCGGATTTTTAAAAAACGTTCGAAAATTTTCTCGACCTTTTTTTTTTAGGTCGACCAAATTGATTTTCTGAGCTCTCTCAATTCACTATAAAGACCCCATTTTGGCAAAACTTTCTGCACCGCAAGCAAATTTTTGAAGAAGAAAAACGCCAAAAAAGGCGTTTTTCGGCACTTTTTGGAAAATTTTGAACAAAAAATTGCATTTTTTCGGCGCGCGCTCCCCCCTCAAAATTAGTATATTTTGGCGCCGAAGGCACCTTTAGAAAAATCAGTCAGCTAAAAAGGGATATCTCAAAATAGCACAAAGGGGGACCTCCTTAAATCCGCCCCTGACCTCGACCACACAAATAGAAAATAAACAATGGCCTCACCTACTAAAAATGTCATATGGCCTTATAGAAAGGCAATTTAATTTGGCCCGACAAAAGACAATGTTTTACGACCCTCTGAAGAGAAAATGAAATATGACCCAATGGCTCTTTTTCCTTTTCTCCCACACCTCACACGAGCATCATTTTTATGGTGTAGCGAGTGGTCGTACAAGGTTAAAACAAATATGTTTGCACTGGCCTAATCAGCCCGCATTACAATTTTCATACCAATTCGGCAGTATGAACAAAAAATTTTACTTGTGAAAATTTGCTGATGGGAGGGGGGGATGAAAAGAGCCTACCCTATTATTCGAACGTTAACTATGGCCATACATACCACCAGATCGGATGTCTCTATGGCCCCCATCCACTCTGGGAATATTTTGCCATAGGGGTGGTCCCATTGGTAGATCCAAACTCGCCCAAAATCCTCTCCCCCCTCCTCCTTGATGGCATACTTGGGCTGCTTCATCATGAAGTTGGCAAAATTCACCATTGGGCATCTGCAAGCAAACGATCAATTGATATCAAAAACAACCACAAGTGATTTTTTGGCAAAATAAATTACGAAAACCAGTAACAGTTATGTACCGGCTCCTCACAACCTGCAATTTTCTGAGATTCTAATTAGTGTCCACGTAGTCCATCTGTCTTGAAAATTGGCATGTGACTGCATTATGCAATTAAAAATAGATTTTGTACCCACATACAACTTCGCAAAATCGAAGGTTACACAGCAAAGTTAATGTTAATGTACAAAAATTGGCATGTTGAATAAAGTGGAACCTGATCTAAACTACATTTTATGATTGGATAAATTAGATATTTTACCACTGTAAAGTATTTAATATTAACCAATCATGATCCATCAAACTAACAACCCACTTATTTGTAAGTGCTGGAATTACTTGTAATTTCAGCACCAGAGAGATTTGAATTTAACTTAGAAATTAGTTGACTCTCCAAGAAGACTTCAGCAGCCGCAATAAACCAGTATACCCTAGATCTATTGAGCCTAGCAGAGACTAGTTAAACACCCTGAGACTAGATAGTATAAGAGTAAGATTAGGATCGGTATTAGACTAAGAAGTTGCACGAATCTATCCGGCCGAAAATAAGATAGCGTGACGAGCAGACGGTGTACCCTATCCAAAATTACTCTATGAGTTAACCACATCGGTCATAACTCATCTGGTGCGACCATAAGTCTCGAACAAGACCTTAATAGCTTAGAATTAACCAAACATAGATTAGAATTTAGACAAAACATTTTTAAAATGTTACACGACGATAATTTAATCGAAATGTCTCTACGACTCAATTGATCAAAGCCAATATTCCGAACGATAAGAGAACTGCCCGGAATTGGAAGAAGACCTCGAACCAGAGACGACATACGACAAAGTAGAAACTTACCAAATAGTTATATGATAGTACGGCAAAAGCCAACACAAACTTTTATATTTAGAATCTTATTAGCAATGAATTTAGATTTTCATTTGCAAACTTAAATCTTGAAGTCAATCTTCATGATCATTTCAGGCGCAACACAAAATATTAATATACAATAACGATTGATAAAAAGATCTCAGATCGTTTTTCTAAAATTCTGCAGTATTCTATAAAACATGTTTGGAAAATATTTATTGAAAATCAAAATAAAAATTAGTAGCATGACAATAAACTGTTAGTAATCATAAACCATCCAATTGTCCCAGCTTCATCACCTAAAACATAACAGCAATCATAAGCTCACTAACATCAAAAAAAACTAAATCTTTTTCTTCAACAAATTTAAATCATTTTAAACTTAAAATCACTTAAATTTAAAACCAGATCATCAAGGCTTATTCTTGGATCTTAATTCATTTTATATTTAATTAAATGTAAAACTTGATCATCAAGGCCTATCCTTGGATCAAAAAGAACAATTTTGTTCTCCCCCACCCACTTAGCTAGTGTCTAACGACCTCAAATGTCGATTCACTATCCAACCCTTTCTAAAAACCCAAGACTAATAGAAATTTTTCAACAAAACTAACCATTCAAATTAGGATAAACAGTGAACAACTTCAGTTATTCATCCTTCACTTGAACCCTCCTCTTATCAAGACTCAGGATAAATCTTAGACTTAGTAAGTTTAAAATAGTATCTAACGAACTACTCGCGTTCTAATTATACCTGAACCTTGTGGATCGATTTACTATTCTCCAACCCTTGAACACAATCACTACCCCTAAGTAAGATTAAGTAAGTTAACACCTTAGCTTATACTAGCCACGAGAAAGTAAAAAATCATTCTTCGGAATCGATATACTTTTCTCTCCAACCCTGAACAAATAGACCCAGGTTAAGCTAACCAAAAAATCGTAAGGACTAACAATTTAAGAAAATAGAAATCATCTAACAACTTTTTGCATCCGTCATCCTAAACCTTATGTCATTTAAAAATCTAGGAAACAAACAAACAATCGTTTTACACAACTGTGAAATAGATAACAAAAAATACGATCTTGTAATCACACCTCATACACAAACAGTTGAATATATTAGAACAAAACGACAAACACTAAAAAGAAAAATAATAAACAAACAAAGACAAATCACACGAAAAAGATTTTCCAAAAACAGAAACGCATTTTCAGAATCAGATGTCAGCAATTTAGACGAACTTTATAAATTAAAAGAATCAATTGATAAAAATTGTCCCATTCACGATCAATTATATTTTTCCGACTCAGAAACAACTTCAAATTCATCAAAAAGAGGAAAAAGACGAATAAAAAAGCAATATAAACACAAACCAGTACACTTATATAACTGGAATCAACCAATTAGACACATCGATAATTACCTATTAACAGTCATTAAACGAAAAAATGAGCCAAACACACACTCCAAGTGAAGATAGTCCAGATGATGACGATATCTTCCCCTTCCTCGTAGATGCACCCAATGATAGAGGACAGCACATACTTTGCAAGAATTTACTACTAAATTTGTTTGAACCCGGAATTAGCCCATGTAAAACAGAGTTCCCAGATGTAAAAATCAAAAGACAAATTATTGATCACTATCTGAAAGATATATGTAATTTGACACAACACTACGGAATCTACACCATAGAATTCACCTCACCAAACCCGAATCACCGCAAATATGTAATTCAAACAGACGACCTTGATTTAGAATTTTCAAAAGTATTCTCAGAATATATAAAAAGCATACAATATCATAACTCACAAAGAGCAAACTCCATATTTACTAATGAAGTTTTTGCAATAATATATAGTTATATCTCAATATTAGAAAACGAAATCCCAATCTCAAATGTCTCACCGACAGAGACATCTAAACATATAAGGGTACGACATGAAATCACACTATTTTCATCTTTTCTAAATATAATTAAAGAAAATTTCACTAAAGATGAAGTTTCACAACATACAAAACATGACTTACAAAAAATTTTGGCATGGTTTATAATAGATTATTTCACACATAATATAGATTTAATTTCACAAGCAAGAAAAAATTTTAGACCTCAAAATTCAAACGATGATACCGCCATCACAGAACAGTCAGACTACGTTTGGGACCCCGAATGGTCTCATTATGCATTTATAAATATCCCACAATCAATTGCAAGTCAAGCAATAAGTACAATATCTTATATAAGAGATTATGTAAGAGTAGTACCATTAACCATTGACGCAACACCATTAAACTACAATACATTTTTACCTGATACTCGAAATAACAGTTTAAATTCGACCGTCATACACAATGAAAACCTTAATGGAACTAGAAATCTCACTCAACAAGATATTCAGACACCATCACACTTCATAAATGAAGAAATTGTCCAAACAACAACAACTACACAACAAAGTATTTCACCAATACGTCCAAATTTAACAACACCAAGAAATACAAACACTTCGCTAGCACAGGTAACCTTACAATCAACCGTTAAACCTTCGGTTGCTCCAAAATATTCACAAATGGATTACCAAACATATAGATCCATGACAATACCGTCAAAAACACGCAGAACATTCACAAGAAACAATTTTGCGGAGCATAATTATAATTATACACATTCATCAAAAACAAACTATCCTCCACGAAATAATAATAATAATCAAATCAGATCTCGATATTGGAATAATCCAATGGCAACCACCAATTCAGTAAATTTTCAAGCTAATCCACATCCTCCACAGGATCATAGTGAAAATTACCCATTCTTTCAACAGAATAAAAAAAAAACAAGCACCTCATCAAACGGATTACCTATCCTCTGATGATGATCATTTACAACCAGATATATTTGCACCATATACGCAAGAATATCGCGGACAAGGAATGCAGAAACCATATACACATCATAGAAATTTTTCTCCACACCAGATAGATACACAAAATCAACAACCAATACAAATGCAAAACCCAATTAATACACAATCTTTTCAACCAATTCAGCCACAAAACCCAATGATTACACACTCATATCAACCAACACAAATGCAAAATGAAATACCACTTCCATATTATCTTCAACAACACGAAATAACAAAAAATCAACTTTCTAATTTTTCACAAATGCCAAATGCAGCAGAATCATTACAAATGACAATGAATCCATACCTTATGGGTGGATCATCAATAACATCAAACAAACCATTAATGGTATTCACAGGAACAGACCCTGAATATTCTGTAGAAGATTATTTAAATGCAGTAACAGCAAATTTAATTTTAAATATAGGACCTGAACCAATTAATACGCCACTACATCAAAACTGGATACATCGACGCACAGCGTTGATACAGACAACCCTAGACGGCGCAGCCCAAAAATGGTTTTCAGTATTGCCTATAGAAATAAAATCAAATTGGAAGAGATTTACACAAGAATTTTCAAAAATGTTTGACTCCGAAAGAAACAAACAACAACAAAGAGTTTTATGTAATGAAATTCGCAGATTACCAAATGAAACCATCAAACAATTAGCAGTACGTATCGAAACACTAGTTCGAAAAGCATATTCATTAAATACACACGATTATAAAAACACAAAAATGACAGAAATCTTAATGATGACCTTAACACCTCAATTAAGGAAAATAGCAATAAAAAAGAGAGCATCCCATCCCTCCTCAATTCGAGAGCCCAATTTAGATTTTCGAAAACTAGTAGACAAGCAAGAGCAAGCGGAAATCACAATGAAACTTGAAGAAACAGAAAATCAGAAATTACAATATGTTAACCGAATTGAAACAAATACCACAAATATCAATAATATACAGGAATCAGATACAGACCTCGTTGAAAAATCACTGAAATACTCAATATTTACGAAAAACACCCAAACTTTAAAGGCAAACCATCTTTCAAAAAATGGTGTAATTATTGCCGACGATACGGACATAGTATTTCTGAATGTAGACAAAAACAACAGGACAATCAAAACAAACCTCAAAAATATAAAGAACCGA